GCCCGTACATTCCTAACCCCCCCTCTTTTTTTCTTTTAGATAAAAGAAAAAGGGGGGACCCCCTACCCAACTCATGTAGCTAGCTGAAACACCTCACAGCAAGTAGACCATAGGGGCCTTACTTGTGAAAGGTGTATTCCTTACCCCGCTAGTTGTGTGTTCTTCAACTATCAAATTAGCTGTCAATAACAAAAAGTTATATGGACACGTTCATTTGAGTTTGAGGAAATTGGTAAATATAAGTGACCCTATTAAAAGGCACAGTGTAGTTGACTTTGTCACACTATGAAATTACTTAAACCCTTGATGGTTAGGATAATCGTCTCATCCTCCAGGCTAACTTTGTCACATAACGATATCTTAATCAGGTGATAAGATATCGCTTAAATACGGCCGGCACGGAAATGGTTACATTGTCACACTATAAACATGTGACGGAGTAAATATGGACCCCTTGCTGCCGTTTTTGACCAAATTTTTGAGTGTCCAGTTGATTGGATGGGTACATATGACCATTACCTACATATTTTACGACTTTTTTCGTCAGGTTTACTCTGTCACACATTAAAGAAAATATGTGATGAATGTTTAGGGCACCCTGATAAGCAATGCTGAGTAGTGTCAGTTTATTTGATGGCCTGGAAGTGCTGGGAATTGTTATTATATCATATAGTCGTAAGGAATTAAAACACAGAAGGCACAACCAAGCTTACTTTGTCACATAATCTTGATGATATCTGAACATGTGTGAAATTGAACAAATAATGATATACCAGCTTAAACCCCTTATATTATACGTACTATGGATCAAACAACACTGCTAGTACCATGCACCAGTCACATAAATCATTATCAGGTGGTAATATGTTAACAGTGTCACAATTAAACTACCGCTACATGGTCAAAAATAGGGTAATTTCGTCACAAAAAATTATTGTAACTCTGTTAGCTCCTTGCTGGCAAAATAACTAGTTTATCGAAATTTTGTTGATGATAAAGTTACATAGTATTCTAATAGAGGTATAGTTCTTCAAAATAGGGGCAAGACATGTTTACTTTGTCACATCAGTTATTATAAGAGTTAGGTAATCGTCATCAGATTAAAAAATATTTTTCGTAGTTTGGATCGATTAATACTTTAATATACCTGTAATAAATCCTATGCCAATTTTAACACACTATCTTGATACTGTTGGGGCAGGGAAAGTTAATTTTGTTGAACATTTTCAATGTCTTTGACAAATTAATCTACATTTTTTAAATTGAGTTCTTATGTTCTGGACAATATTCTTCCAATCGTTTATGAAAGAATGTCGAATTCTAATAGAGTTAAAGATCTTCAAAATAGGGGCAAGACATGTTTACTTTGTCACATCAGTTATTGTAAGAGTTAGGTAATCGACATCACATTAACATATATTTTTTTGTAGTTTGGATTGATTTATATAGGTAATAAAGCAGCCTATGCTAATTTTTACACACTATCTTGAAATTGTTGGGGCATGAAAAGTTAATTTTGTCACATTTTTAGTGACTTTGACAAATTTAACCTAAAATTGTTAAACTTAAGCTCTGATGTTCTGGACAATATTCTAATAGAGGTATAGAATATAGATCTTCAAAATAGGGGCAAGACATGTTTACTTTGCCACATCAGTTATTATAAGGGTTATTATAAGAGTTATTATAAGAGACTATTTCATTCTATAATCATTGTTTTTAATCTATTTACGATTTCGTATAATTTTTTGTGACAATGTTAACATCAACTGATCTTAACTTGCATCAACTACATTGTCATCATATAAAATTTTCCCGCCTTTCAAACCAAAATCAGATATAAATAATTCGCCCAAAATTTTAAATTCCATATATTGTGACAGAATTAACCTCATTTCCCAATAACCGAGTGCCTGTATTAGCTATATATTCAAAACAACATATTTTAGGGCTATGATTGGTAGAGCAACCATCAAATAATGAGTTGAAAGGGTTTTTAGGACACCTCACGTCCTCACAGTAGAATAGAGGTATGGTATCATGAGTGTGACAAAGTTACCCAAATATTGCCTTGTAACCGTTCGATCCGTGCCCATTAACCAATGTTGTATCATAATTGTTAGATTGACCTAATTTACTATATTTCAGACCAAGGAATGATAATTAGACAACTGCAGTTAACTAAGTCACACAAAATGTGACATTTGAAACATTATAGTGCCTAACAACAATAGATTTTCTTTCTGAGCGGTGCATATGGGAGGATGGGCTACGTGGCTAATGTTCAGAACTTCTGAACGTGCTAGGTTAATAGATGTCAAAATTAAGCCACTATCGTCAAAAACGCTATTATTTTTGTTTACCAATATCCTCAAACTCAAATGAACGTGTCCATATACCAAATGGGCATTTTTTAATATGTTTTAAATTTGCTGATTCTATAAAATTTGCAAAAAATTGCATTTCTTTTTTAATTGAAATTTCTTGTTTCATTGAGTTACCTTAAATGTTAAAGTGCATTTCTGAAAGTTATATAATACTGTTTTAATTATTCATGTCATCATATCAACAGCAATGGCGTCTACAAGTGTAGAGAAATACTACCCTGGAGTAGCTATTGTCCTGGAATTAACCATTGGGACTATTGTGTGTTGTGTTTCTCTTTTGGTATTAATCGGCTACTTCAAATGTCATGGATGGAAAAAACCCTCTGGTCTCACTGTGATGAATTTATTGGCTGCTGATTTAATGAACGGGATCATTGCACCTCTACAAGCAGCTTACATTCACTGCTTACTGCATGATATCAAGGCTGCAAACTTGTTCCGGACCATTTTCTTTTTACAGGGGCTGTTCATCTGGGCATCTCCAATGATCATTATTCTTCTTAACATATCTCGTCTTGCTGCTATTTTGGTTCCACTTCAGTATGCCCATATCATTACTCAAAGAACCTCAGTAATACTTTTGTTCTTGATTTGGACAACTGGAATAGTAAATTGTTTCGTGAAGCGATTCCTGCCTGAATATTCTAGGTACAAATATTATGTGCCTGGTGTTCTGCTACACTTGATTCTCAATGTGATCATATTTGGACTTGCCCTGTATACACTTTTGTCGCTGAGAACCTCTCATGGTCAAACACAATCTGAATCCCGAGTGAGAGCCACCAAAACTGTCATAGTGGTTTCAATTGCTTATTTCCTTACATATGGCTATTATATCTATGTAAATATTGTGTGGATGATACCAGGTTTAACGAACGAAACAAAAAACCCTTGGCTTATATTCACTGCAATTGGAGAATGGTCGCTCTCAATAGCTCATTTGTTCCTGTTGATGAATAGTCTCTTCAATGGTGTGATACTTGGTTTGCAGCCAAATATCAGATGCGCTATTCAAAATATCTGGGTTCCTAATTATTATCGGAAAACTCTCCAACAAGAGGCCAAGACTATAGTTTTGACTCAGTGAAAAAAGAAACTGTTTTTATGTTGGGACATGGATGATGTGACAATATAATATGCCTTTTTTGTCTACAAAGGAAAATCTTATTATGGACATTGAAAAACGGTCAAAATAGTCTAAGTTTATGAGCTGTGTACGGAAAACTGTTGACTTGATCGTTTTCTTTTAAGTCTATCCATTTTCAGTACAATTTGGATTCTTTCAAGTCCTCTTTAGGGGTCGTTCACATATTACCTAATCACTTTCTAATAATGTTTACCACCCCCCCCCTAATCAGTTTTATACATAGTGTCAAAATTACACTAGCGTAATCATTTGGGAAACCCCCTCCCCCCTCAGCTGGTTATGTAATATGTGAATGACCCCTTTAAAGGAATCCATGTTAATTCAACACTTGAAAAGAAATTCTAAGCTGAAAAACTGATCATGTATATGTGATGATTATAACCTCTTCTTATCAATGTGTTTTTCCATCAAGCAAGTTATATAATATACCTACAGTATATACACAGTATGGAGAAAGATCGTTTCAGAAAGTTGGCCCTAAATTATGGTTAAGTGCATACCCTTTACCTTGTAATTTAGTGTATCAAGTCTTTACAATTTTCTATGGTTTGGAACCAAAATGTGAATTGCTTTTCAGGTTTTATTGTATCCTGACTTGTTTTCGTGGCACACCTGTGCATTTTAAGTTGTTGTGCCACTATAATCTATAAGTTTAAATTATTATTAATACACTAATTGAACTTTTAATGAGCTTTATAATTTGATTATGTGGTGTCCAACTTTAAGTACATTTATAATTATAATTATTTATAAGTATAATTATAATATATCAGATAGATATATAATTAAGTTGTATTAGATTTTTACCAGTTTTTTATGTTAATTTATTGCATTAAATATTGCACATATTTTCTGTTCAGAAAGAATTGATTTATTGAAGTAGTAAGTAATAATATTTTCACACATTTTTCAGATAATCCGAAATCTGTTTGCAGAAAAATTTTATGATTCGTTTTCAGAGCATAAGTTTTGTGGTTTATCCACTGGGCTTAGAGTTTGTGTTTAAGCTACCAAATTTTATTATTTATTATCATAATTGTTATTATATTTTATTTGATCAAAGTTTTTCTTATTTGCATTGTTTGCATTATCTCACACAACTAACTAAAGCCATTTCCAAAAATGTAATAGATCAACAGTAAAGTAAAGTTAAGTAATGTAAAAATTATGACGTAACATCATCACTAATGTCTACAAAGTATCATCACACTACATGGAAAAATATACAGTTACAACTATTTCTCCATCAAATTTAAAAGTAATAATTTATCAAATATTAATCATGAATAACAACAACAATAAAAAATTTAATATTTAATGTTGTTGTTATTCGTGATTAATATTTGATAAAGTAGTAGTGAACTTGTGACTCTTTATAATATTGTCATTAAATGGTAAACGAAATTTCATTCAGTAATTTAGGTACACTTGACCCTAATATATTGACCCTAATCCTATTTTACTACAGACTCAATTGACTCCCTCAATGGCGTCTACAAGTGTGGAGGAATACTACTCTGGAGTAGCTATTGTCTTGGAATTAACCATTGGGACAATGGTGTGTTGTGTTTCTCTTTTGGTATTAATCGGCTACTTTAAATGTCATGGATGGAAAAAACCCTCTGGTCTCACTGTGATGAATTTATTGGCAGCTGATTTAATGAACGGGATCGTTGCACCTTTACAAGCAGCTAACATTCACTGCTTACTGCATGATATCAAGGCTCCAAAGTTGTCCCAGACGATTTTCTTTCTACAGGCTTGGTTTATCTGGGTGTCTCCAATGATCATAATTCTGCTTAACATATCTCGGCTCATCGCAATCTTAAACCCATTTTATTACATCAATATAGTTACACTGCGCACTACAGCAATGCTTTTGAGTTTGTTTTGGATGACTGGACTAGTGGACTGTTTCCTAAAGCGATTCTGGGATGATTACGCCCAGTACAAATATTTTGTGTCTGATGTTTTACTTCACTTGATCCTCATTGTTATTGTGTTAGGCTTGGCTTTGTTCACACTGTTGCAACTAAAAACCTCTGGTGGAGAAACACAATGTGAATCTAGGGTCAGAGCTACCAAAACTGTTATTTTGGTTTCTACAGTATTCTTTCTTACGTATGGTTACTATATCTATGCGAATATTGTTTGGATGATACCAGGTTTAGCCAAAAATACCACCAACCCATGGCTTAAATTCACTGCAATTGGAAAATGGTCGCTCTCATTAGCTCATTTGTTCCTGTTGGCGAATAGTCTCTTCAACGGTGTGATCTTTGGTTTACAGCCCAACATCAGATGTGCTATTCAGAATATTTGGGTTCCCAATTACCATCGTATCACTCTCCAACAGAAAGTGCCAAATACAGCCTCATCTCAGTTGAACACTTGAACTTTATAGCTGTTTAAGAAACTGATCACAAGGATGGTTCTTATATTATTGTTATCGTTAATGAAGTTATTGATTTGGTTATAGACATTTTTATGATTTTTTAAAATGATTTTTTTTGATTTTTTGTCAACTTGTTTTTATCAATAATTTTTACTCAGAATAATTTGAAATTTTTGTATACTTTTGTATTAATTCCACAAATTTTTCAGATAATCCGAGATCATTTTTCAGGCATTTTTTGCAGAAAATTCAATGATTTGTTTTCTTTATACTCGTTATGTCAATTTATTTGATCAAATTTTTTCTCATTCGCATTGTTTTAGTAATCTCACGCTAATAGAGCCTTTTCCAAAAATTTAACGCATGGACAGTACTCGATAGAAGTGGATACAAATATCTACTATCCTTCATTTTAGTTGAATAATGGTTATATGAACTTTTTAACCTGATCATAGATGAGTATTTATAAAATAATATCTAATAATAATAGCTGTGTTAGCATGGCTCAGCCTAATCAGGGTATGATGGGGCTTGTGCTGCAGAATCCCTCCCAAAATACTCACATGCTGGTCAATGTTGCTGGTTCAACAGGGTTTATTGGACAACCCTCAAACAGTATGAACCCCATGGGCAACATGGTCCAGATGCAGCCTCAGAATCACCCAAATCTACACCCTGTTAGTTCAATTAATAGTAATCAAATCTTAATTAAAATTCTGCTCTACGATCCAGTACTGACCCAGATTATGCAGAAGTCCCTCGAAATTTAAATCTAAAAGTTAAATGTTGAAGATAAATAATAACATTTAATATGTTTTCTCCTTCAGAGACCCCACATGCCCCCACCATTACCAACTAACCTTGGTAACCGTAATACCAATGAAAGCGACAGAGTCTTGCAGAAAAGACACCTCCAGGACCTCCTTCAGAGCATTGACCCACTGGGACAGTTGGATGATGAAGTAGAGGAGGTCAGTTTATTAGAATACTCACGATCATCAAACGGTGAAATGTAATTCAATGTCTGTTTCTTAAAACTTTATATCAGGATCCACTGACATTTCAAAATGTTTGACAGGTGCTGTTGCAGATAGGAGATGATTTCCTAGAAGATGTGATCTCTGCATCTGCTCAGATAGCAGCTCACAGAAAGAGTAAGCAGCTAGAAGCGAAGGATGTACTTCTTTACCTAGACCGACACCACGATCTGTGGTTACCGGGTTACAGCAAGGAAGAGTTCAAACCTCCTAAGAAAGATATCTGTACAGAACAACACAAACAGGTTAGCGATAGATCGGGGCAAATCCCAGTCTTTTACATCACGGCTCATCTGCTAATACTACATGAAAAACCGGTTTTTTAATGGATTGTCAGCAATTTTAATATCAGTTGTTTGTATTTTATTGCCCCCACTGCACTGTCTCGCAAATCTGTTCTTGATGATAACACTTTTTCAGAGACTAGAGATGATAAGAAAAGCTCAAAGACAATGAGGGTGGATTGCAATACTATGTATTTACTTTCAATTAGAGACAAAAGGTGGTCTTTAGAACCTCTTAAATTATGGGGATAAAAATAGCAGCTAAGCACTGAGCAGTAAGCAGGCCGTCTGACGAAAACCGAAATTACTGGAACTTGGTAATCTTCTCAAGTCACCCGACACGGATATTTTCACCGACAATCTGAATATAATATAAATTTTAAATTTTGAATTCGAGAGTTTCTATGGACATTCGACCTTTGGATCACATTTCATGCATTTGTAAAGTCGTTGGACAGTCATCGTAGTGCACTAACAATTACTAACCTGCAATGTTAGGTTGTTGCTAGCTCTAATTCAGTTATTTATTTCCATGCACTGTGTTTCACCACTTCTTTGGGGATTATTTTTAAATTGATTAATTCATATTTGGCGTATATAACTTGTTAATCAATTGTGTTCAGCTTTATGTATTTGTCAGTATTATATTTGATATTAAATATTGATTCTATTCTTCTCTCAAGTTATAATATTTCTTAATAAGCTTGATGATTGTGTGGTTTATTCTATAATACGTATGAATTAAACTGGAAATTGTTTGTTAAGTGTTAATTTATCGCACACTATTTTGAATTATAAGATCATTTCCCGATTAAAATGAAATGAACACAGTACACATTTACAGGGTTTAAATACAATGTTCTTCCTATACTACACGACCTTCAAATACTCCACCATCAAAGACAAATACCTGGGTATCTACTACTACTGCGGAATAGCTGCTGTAATAATCTACTCTATCCTCACTATTTTCATCAACAAAGGTTATCTCCAGATCGACCACTCTCCCCACGGCGCTGTAACTTTAATATCAGATTCTATTGACAACAACCTGACTCTGCCCAACAGTGATCATTATTGTTGTGAGGGCCCTGATTGCGAAGTCAAATGTTTTCTGATAGACGGAAAAGAGCTAGCTTGGCCGCTGGACAAGGATTCTGTTACTATTTCCTCTTTCTTTAAAGAAAGATATCAAACAATTCTCCCGGGTCTGAAAATAACAGAAAGCAGCGAGGAGGCTCAGTATTTCGCTAAAAAGCCCGAAGCTATGGATATCAAGGTAGAGCATTCCGTACATTCCAGAAAATCCACCAAAACGGGAACTCAGCGGACCATGCGAGGAACACTCATGTCCCACAACGGCAGTCTTATCAAGGAGTTCAACTCTTACGAGCGTGCTGATAGGCTCTCTCTCAAGGACATTATAGACGCCTCGGGGATGGGATCTCTGGATGACATCTCGGACTCACCCAATGGAAACAACAAATCGTTCCGCCGGAAGGGATGTCTGATGTTAGTAACCATATTCTACCATAACATCCTGTCCTCAATGCTCGGCACCACCCCTCTCAGTTACACCTACACTGTAGAAAGGGTCCCCTACACCCCTCACCGTGTAGAAGAGATAATCCCAATGGTAACGCCCTCCTACTGGAACAGCAAGGTGCCCCTGAACAGCGTCACAGCGGAGGAGCGTTACACTAACCCCCAGCACAGACTCCTCCGCAAGCGTTACGGGGTTCACATTAAGTTTGTGCAGAGTGGGGCTATCGGGCGGTTTTCTCTGTCCCACTTGCTGCAATGTCTCGCTACCTCCATGAGTTTGATCACCCTTATCACCACAGTTGGGGATATTATCGCCTTGTATCTACTCCCTCAGAGTAAGTATTACAGAGAGGTTATATATGGGATGCATGAGGATGACATTGTTGATCACACTCAATCTGAAACTGATCTCAGTAAGAGTAAGTCTGAGTAGATAACTTTACATTTAATGCCCCTGTTTTAATTTTCTTACTTTTTTGAATCTGGCCAAATAACGAAATGACCAAGATGTAGTATAAGGTAGAGATGTATAATAAAGTTTTAAATGCTCTTGATATAAGTACATATTATACATTATACTTGTGATGATTGTTATCTCAGTTTGTTTAACTTTTACATTTGACATGTTTGAAGATTTTTTTCCTTCATTTCATAGATTTTCAGTTTTCTAACTATTTGTGTGTTTAAAATTTTGATTTATTTGCTCATTTTGACCAGACTATTTTTGTATTAATTTCGTGTGGAACTCTGATTGATATAACTTATTAAACTCTAATAATTTGATTTATCTTAGCTGAATTATAAAGTTCTTTAAGGGGTTTATAATTTCTTTTAACTGTAGTACGGTATAAAATGTTTAATGATATTCAATATCTGTTCGTTCAGTGACACAACTTGTATCACTTCTATTAAAGAGTTAAAACTTCCGACCCAAAGCTAACATTGTCACATTGTATACTATTCCTTTAAATGCTAATTAAAGCGTATTAGATAGCAATTATAGCACATTTTATTATAACCGTTTAAAACTAAAGTTAATAATTATGTTTTATAATTAGCACAAGGAGAAGGGATGGTCGTCCGGGCGTTCCTTTGCGTTTTGTTAGCTACACTAATGCACGTTGCTCTGATTCTTACTGGCTGGTTTGACAGAGTTACCACGGAACTGGGCTATGATATGTACGCTGAAAGAGTGGACTCTGTTCCCTTTCTCCCGTTTCCCATGCCAATGAACACGCTTATAAACTTTGGGTACGCTTACGCTGGGCTTGCTTGGTTACCCACTTTCTCCAAAGGTTCAGATCTTTGGGGCGAGTCCTTCTGTTGGTACAGCATTTTCTACAGCATGATGCAGCTAGCTAGGATTGTATACCAGACACAACGCACCGCTGTACTAGACCAGTGGATCACTACAACTATATTCTGTCACGTGACACTCTGGATTATATCCCTCCCCTCCTGCGACGGGATCCTGATTCGATCCCTCAGATCCCTCAACCAAAGAGCAATCCTGATAGTCTCCTTTCTAAGTTACTTCTTATCGCTCTGCTCGGAGATAGGGTTTGATATCGCCCTGGTTGTACACATGCTGGCAGCAGTCCGTGTTGGTTACGAAGCTCACTTATCCAGTGGTAATGATTTCAGTGGTGATGTATTTAGGAAAGCTTTTCTGTGCTGCCTCGGTTTTGTTGTGCTGAAAGTTGCTGATTTGCCTCTGAGGGAGTACTGGACTCCTAATTGTTTTTCGGGCCATTTCTTGTCTAAGATTTGCGATGTGGGTCAGATTTATTATGTAGCCGAGTTTGTGCATGTTCTTACTGGTAAGAAATCCGAAACTCTCAAATCTGAGTGAGTATTTAACGATCTGCTGTCAATTCAGTGTGAATCAAGGCTTAAAATAGAACATTTTTGGCAGCATTTTGTAGATTAAATTTTAATTGGTCTATGTTTATTTGTATTATTTAGTAGTGTGGGTAATTTATTGATTTGAGTTAGTCTATTATTGTTACTGATTATTAATTGTATCGTTATATCATCCTTTTATTATGCTCCTTTCGATTATCATTATCTCTACGCTCATTTTTGTTTTAAAATGTTTTGACATAGCCTTGAATCGTTTGATGAAACTTTTTTATTAATGCGACATAATAATATGATTCCAAATTTCTTAAATTTAAAAGCATAATTGGATCTATGAATAATGATCACTTCATTACATCCATCTTGATTTTATAACCAGCAGATTTTCAAGCTATATTCGCTCATTTAAGAGTATTCATGAATGTTAGAAATAGATAAGGAGACCTGAAAAAGAGACCCGGAAATGCCCAAAAGACCACGAGGTACGGACGAAGTGAAGTCTCTAATTGATTTGAGACACGATGATCAGAGGATAAACGTTATTGCAGTGGTGTACTCCAGTACTCCTGCTACTAAAGCTAAAGGTAATAATTAATATTCGTCTGTCAAGTTTCTCCTACTTCGGCCTACCTGTGGTGGCTTCTAAAAACTTGAAATTACAATAGACATACACTAAATTCTCGAAATCTAGTGACCAACTTTTCGCGGCTGTGGTATATATATAATATTTATTCACTGTGTTGGAGCTGCACAAGATCTGATTACCAAGTTTTAAGGTTTTAGTTCTCTAGATCGTAATCCCCTGACAAGTCCTGTAGTTAAATTAGGGTCTCGTCATCAATAGTAATTCGCTAATTCCACTCTTTCACACCCACTTCCCCTATTAAACAATTTACACTGTACTGGTCCAATAGCCAATAATAATTGAATATTTATTGGCAGAGGCAGGCTGCATTTTCATGGTTTGCCTGCTATCACTTCACAGGTACAATTTACACTTCATACCTATACAGTTTGCACTTAACATGCAGCACACAATTGCACAATGCACATGCGCGGCGTGTACTATCTTATCATGTATAACAATAGACAATAGTAACATGCGCTTCCGCAGGAGCGTCCCACTACGTAAAGTTCGACTTAGTAGACAACACCACCTCCAATATAGTCACGTGTCTATTATTCGGAGCGCTGGAGCTCCTCCCTGACGTCAGCACTTTCAGCCATCCTGCTGTGATCCGTCTCAGACGGTTCGATGTGGTGACATTCCAGGACCGAGCCCAGCTCCAGAACACTCCTGGTCACAGCTGGTGCATGTTCGGTAGGGACACAGACTCTTTTAGACCTGAGGATAGGAGTCATGAGAACACTGCTAATAGTTTGACCTCCGCGGAAAGGGACAGAATCACGGAGCTGAGGTGTTGGCTCAGATCGGATAGTTTCAATGAGACTGTTTATGAGAGAGGTCCTGTTTACATTCCATCCCAATTTGTTCCTGAGAGCACGAATAGTATTGTGAAACAGACCGGGAAATTTAATAAGTTTTCTACAGGTTACCTCTTGCTAAAATACATAGAAAACAACCTGTTCTTTGATTTGGTAGCTCAAGTGATCGGCATTAGTTTCAAAACTGAATGTTCCATAATCCGTTGTTTCGACGGAACTAAACCCTCCATCAAGACCTTCAAGAACAATTCTCTGTACATGAAAACCCACCTCTCACAGCTAATAACCGCTCAATTGTTTGATCTTTACGTTGATATCACAGTGTACGATGAACACAACATAGTGGCCGAAGCAGTGGAGGTCGGTAGTTTCCTGGAGTTTAAAAATCTCCACTGTTACATTCCATTAAGTAGTGAAACCAGCGAGGTTATCCTGCACAAGGGGTTTCAGTTTGGCAGAGGAATGCGAATACTGCTTCCTGACCACGACTCCATTCCTTCAGTACAACAGAGAATAGACGAGATACAAGTTAAAAACACCACAACCTGGACTGCTCCTTCTCCTCCTTTATACGATGAAGAATCTCCTCCCGTCACCCAGCTCATCCACCCTGACCTACCCCTCTCCTCTATTATCGATATCCTAGAAGCAGAAAAAGACTCCACTTCCCCCTCCTCCCTGTACCGTATCAGAGTGTTTGTAGACAGCTACACACCTGACAACTACCCCTCGTTCATCAGGCAGTTCTGTGAACCTTGCAGCTCCTTCTCCTCCTCGGAACAATGTGGGAAGTGTGATGCTCTGTGTTTAAACCTGGAACTGTTCTTTAAACTCCAGGTCCGGGATATGCAGGATGGGTTTGAGGGTGAAGTAAAGTGTTTTGCAAGTGCAGCGAGAGAGTTCCTAGGGGTGGAGGAAGGAGGAGGGTTGAGTATGGGACGGTTGGAGGGGGTGGAGAGAGTGGTGGGACAGTGGTGTGATCTCGGTGTTATTTGTGTGAAGGGAGCTCTTCTTCTGAAGGGGTGCTCTATTAATGTGGGGTAATTGTGTAGTTTCAATGTGAGATATAGTGTCTTTAAACTGATCCATCTATTCCTGGTAAGTAGACTGAGGAATTCCGTGGTTTCTATATTAACTGTTATTTACAGTTGTGGTTAAATAACCAAACTTTATTTTGATTTCATTGTTTTTATTAAAGTTTCCAGTTTTAATGTTCCAGAATTGTTTTCCGGAGAATTTTTTCCCCAGAGTTTTCCGAAAATTCTTTTTTTAAAGTATGAATTAGTAATTTATAGACCACTGATATGTTTTGCTTGTTTATTTATTCACGGCTCACGCTTATTATATAATATCGAACTATTGTATGTTTTAAATTATATTGAATAGCATTGTTTTGGGAGTTTTTGAATCGATCTAAATTCGTGAGTAGCTATGTCTATTGTCTCCTCTCATTGAATATTATTTATTTGCATTTTTCGCGACTGACTGTTGAGTCTTGTACTAATTAGATTGTGTCCGGAAGTGGGAAATAGTATGAATGTTATGTTTAAATTTCGGTTACATCCCTGAATAGATTAGTCACTAAGTGGCGACTGGCGATGCAAGTTTATTCTGCATGTTGGTCAGTTGAAATTAGTTAGAAACAATGATTATTTAGAAATTCCTTTTCACGTGCTTTATAACCAAACGTGCAGCGTGTGCCTACCATTAGCCACGCACTTATCTAATCAACTCATGCTGCTTTAGGATGTCAAGCGGGAAGAAGAACAAGATAGAATACAAAGTTCAACTGCTTGACGACTCTACTATAAGCTGCCGGGTCGAGGTATCTGTGATCTTACACTTATGTATTGTATATAAAAAGAGTCTTAGCACACTTTCATTTCTTTTTTATTGAACTTTGATCACACTTCTATCAAACCTTGTCAACTCCTCTGTAAAACTGCCAAATTTTGAGTGGTTGCTTCAAAGCAACATATCGCACCACCATTTTTACAAGTTTAAAATCTCCAACCATTCACTGGTTATTACCGGAAACAAGAATTTGCTCGTTTTATTTCTCTCCACAGTTATGACGCCATGGTTTACACGTATAATACTGAATTTTAGGTTTTAAGAATAGTTTCAGTGTGCCAGGAATCTCAGTTTAAAATTCGACTCATCTCATCCAGATACCATAACTAGCTCAACGTCTCACGTCAACATATTTCACCTTAAATATGGCAAGTTTACTGCTTATCAATGCTTCCTGGTAAATAGTTTTACTTCTTCGTGTTTAAAATTAAGATATATAGCATCACGGTTATCTCATGCTGTTCTAAAGTAAAGCCGCTTGAGCTCTTTTAGATTTTGGTAATTTTATCAAAATTTTAATATCTTATCTGTCATCAATGTGTCATGTAAACTTGTATTTTCTGCAAAAACCGAAACGGAACATAAATTTTAATAATTGTGTGTAATTTTGTGTAATCTTCCCGCCTGGCATTTCCTAAGCTGAAATGAGAGTGTAAAAAGAAGTGGAGGAGTTCGTGGCTAGCACTATGAAATTTTGATAAAATCCGGGCGGAGTACCACTAAATTATGAGGGGTGGAAAGTGAAAACAAATTAGCACACGTAATGACAGGTTGAGAGGGCCGTGTTGGGTGTATACCGTGTGGTAAAATACTCCTCCTGGTATTTCACCTCACTCATCCACACTTGCTATTTAACTTGAAATTCCGTTAAATTATCGAATATTGTTGTATATTTATATTATAACCTCATTGTTAAATTGCATAATATTTAACTAGTTTTTCATCCTGCATCATATAAGGTATATTATGAATCGTGAGCGCTGTTTCACTTCCGTTGCGCCCAAAGACATTTCTATTTTTAAATCGAAATTCCTTTTAAATTAAATTTCCCTCAAGTGATCAACTTAAGTCATTCGAGAGGAATGAAGAGTTTGAAGATATAATGTGGAATGTTATTCCCGAGATTGCTGAAACATTTAAATCAAATTATTTGACATTGAACTTCCGTTTTTTTACCCACATTTTACCTTCAGAAAGGCTCAAAAGGCGAAGAATTGATAAACCAAGTGTTTATATTTCTGGAGTTAGAAGAAAATGACTTCTTTGGGCTGTGCTATTCCCACGCAAAACAGGGCGATTTATCATGTTGGTTACAGAGCAAGAAACCTATCCACAAGCAGATAGGAAGTAAGTGCACCACTTTTACGTTCACTTTTACTTTCACTTTCACTTCCGTTTCTGTAAAGTAAGTATAGCTGTGGCAGTTTCTTATCTGTAAAATGTAATCCGTACGCGGTTTCACGCCATATAAAGTTACTGGAAGCTTCAAACTCCAGTAATCTAATCACATAACTTTAATGCTGTAATGTTGGTGGGGCACTCTTTTCTCGGAGACAAAACAACAGTTACAAAATGCCAGAAAAGTGAATTTGTTACTTTCAGCGTCTGCTGGTGGGTACCAGTTTAGGTTCAGAGTAAAGTTCTACCCACCTGACCCTGCTAGAATACTTCAAAAAGAGATGACCAGGTTTGAGAAATTACTGTATTTATTAATTAGTAATTACTGTGTGTGATTTGACTGACTATCAAACAGTCGCTTCAATAATAATGTCTTGTCCTAAGTGATTTGTAAATTGTAAAGTAGACCTGGTGATCATTTGAAGCCATGGTGTATGTCGTAATTATTTATAAATCTGCTGCTTGAGTCTTGACCCTACATTGTTGTCAGTAAAACAGTCTCGGTCCGGTATCTATTTTGTTGTTTAAGTAACCGAGTGTAGCCTATTTAGTGCTCATTGAAATGTATTATAATATGTACACAGTATGGTCCACGGTACGGTCCACTAATGGGGGGGGGTCCAACTACAAAAAATACGAACGCACCCCTAAAATTTTCAAATTCGTATTCGTATTTTTCGTATTTTTCGTATTTTTACAAATCGTCATTTTGATAAATAGAAGATCACACATCTTCGTAATAATCAGATCTAACTCAACTTATGCAGTGAAGAAACATTAAAATAATATGTAAACCATCATGTATCATACATAAAACCTGGTGTGCAACAACAAAAACGATGAACCCACACAAAATTATGAAATTCGCTCCCCTTTTATCGTTTTTTATTAAATTTGGGATATATTTGTGATCCATTTTTATGTTTTATTGGAAATTGGTCCATTCAATTGGACATATACATTCCAATAGTATGTTTTTAAAGGGGTTTTTTTTTTACTGCAAGGGGGGTATATCTCCCTACCAGTTTAAAATTATCAAGAAATCCCCCAAACCCCAGTGCTTTTGTCTCTTGTGAAAACGGGTTGTTTGCTCATTATTTTATCCCCGTTTCTTTTTTAAACTTATTATGTATTAGTACAAAACTAGGGGACCGTGTTAAATTTTTTTGGGGCCTCTTTAAAAATAAACCCTAATATCCCCCTTTTGTACAAAAGCACCCTTTAAATAAAGTCCCAAATACATTTGTATCGTGACACATGCTTTTAAAATTTTGGGTTGAGTCCTCCTCCCCCATCCCCCTCCCAACCTAAGTTTTTCTTCCTCCGGGGTATTCCCCCTCCCCCCTTCTTCCCTCCTAAGTCTTCCCCCGAGGCCCTCTTAGTTTTTTCCTCCCCTCCTCAGTCCCCCTCCTCCCTTCCATCCCGTCCCCCTTTCCCTTTCCCCCTCTTAATTTTTTCCCCCCCCCTCCTCCTCTCCCCCCTCCCCCCCAGTTTCCCCATTTCCCCCTCCTCCCTTTCCCCTCCCTTTCCTCCCCAAACAGTCCCCCGCCCCAGGGCCCTTTAAAATCCCTCCTCGTTCCCCGTCCTAGTCCCCTCCTCCCCTCCCCCCCTGAGTCCTTCTCCGAGTCCTCCTTTTGACCTCCTTCTCACCTCCTCCAAAAGTCCTCTTCCCCCCTCAGTCCTCCCCCAGTTCTCCCCTCCTCAGTCCCCCCTCCTCCTCCTCCCGCCCCCCTCCTCCTTTCCCAAAACCTCCTCCTCCTCCTCAGTCCTCCCCCATCCTCCTCCTAAATCCCCAGTCATCCTCCTCCTCCTCATCCCCCTCCACCTCCTCAGCCTCCCCCGGAAACCCCTCCTCAACATTCCCCTTTCCCCCGTCCTCCTCATCCCCTTTAATTTCCCCCTCCTCCCTTTTTTTTCATCGGGGCCCCCTCCTCGCCTCGCTCTTTGTCCTCAGTCCTCCTCCCGGCCTTTTCCTCCTCATTCCCTCCCCCCCTCCCCCCTCCCCCTCCTCAGTTCCCCGTCCTCATTTTTCCCAGTTCCTCAATTCCCTCCCCCCTCGTCCCGTCCTTCCTCCAGGGCCTCCCCGGCTTTAGACCCCCTACTCTTTAGTCCTTCCCCCCTCCTCCCCAACCCTCCTTATCCCCCTCCTAAGCTTTTTTCCTCCTAAAACTCTTCCCCCTGAGCCCCCATCCCCCTCCTCCTTCCCCCTCTTTCCCTTTTCCCCCTCAAACAGTTCCCCTTCCCCCCCATCCCCCTTCATAGTCGTCCTCGTTCTCGTCCTTAGTCCCTCCTCCTCCTCCTCAGGTCCTCCTCCTGAGTCCTCCTCCTCATTCTCCTCCACAGTCATCTTCTTCCTTTTCCGTCCTCCCCCAGTCCTCATCCTCATCAGTCCTCCCCCGGACCCCCCAGTCCTCCTCATCAGTCCTCCCCCAGTCCTCCTCATCAGTCCTCCCCCAGTCCTCCTCCTCCTTCCCCAGTCCTCCTCCTCATCCTCCTCCTCAGTCTCCTCCTTCTCCTCCTCCAGTCCTCCTCCTCCTCAGTCCTCCTCCTCTTCCTACTCCTCAGTCATCCTCCTCCTCCTCAGTCCTCCCCCAGACCTCCTCCTCATCAGTCCTTCCCCAGTCCCTCCTCCTCCTTCTCCTCCTCCTTCTCCTTCTTATCAGTCGCCTCCTCCTCGTCCTTGCTCTCGTCCTCAGTCCTCAGTTCTCCTTGTCCTTAGTTCTCATCCTTTTACTTATCCTCCTCCTCCTCAGTCCTCCCCCAGACCTCCTCCTCATCAGTCCCTTCCCCAGTCCTCCTCCTCCTCCTCCTTATCCTCCTCCTAAGTCCTTTCTTCCTCCTAAGTCTTCTTCCTCCTGAGTCCTCATCCTCCTCCTCCTTCTCCTCTTCCTTCTCCTCCTCATCAGTAGTTCTCCTCAGTCCTCTTCATAGTCGTCCTCGTTCTCGTCCTTAGTCCTCCTCTCCTCCTCAGTCCTCCTCCTGAGTCCTCCTCCTCATTCTCCTCCCACAGTCATCTTCTTCCTTTTCCGTCCTCCCCCAGTTCCTCATCCTCATCAGTCCTCCCCCAGTCCTCCTCACAGTCCTCCCCCAGTCCTCCTCATCAGTCCTCCCCCAGTCCCCTCCTCCCTTCCCCAGTCCTCCTCCTCAGTCCTCCTCCTCAGTCCTCCTCCTCAGTCCTCCTCCTGAGTCCTCCTCCTCATCCTCCTCCTCAGTCTCCTCCTTCTCCTCCTCAGTCCTCCTCCTCCTCCTCCCTCTTCCTAACTCCTCAGTCATCCTCCTCCTCCTCAGTCCTCCACCAGACCACCTCCTCATCATCCTTCCCCAGTCCTCCTCCTCCTTCTCCTCCTCCTTCTCCTTCTTATCAGTCGCCTCCTCCTCGTCCTTGCTCTCGTCCTCAGTCCTCAGTTCTCCTTGTCCTTAGTTCTCATCCTTTTACTTATCCTCTTCCTCCTCAGTCGTCCTCAGTCCTTCTCCTCCTCAGTCATCCCCCAGTTCTCCTCCCCCTCCTCAGTCCTCGTCCTCAGTCCTCCTCATAGTCGTCCTCGTCGTCCTCGTCTTCCTTCTCAGTCCTCCTCGTCCTCAGTCCTCCTCGTCTTTAGACCTCCTACTCATCAGTCCTTCCCCAGTCCTCCTCCTCCTTCTCCTTCTTATCAGTTGTCCTCCTCCTCGTCCTCGCTTTCGTCCTCAGTCATTCAGTCCTCCTCGTCCTTAGTCATCATCCTTTTACTCCTCCTCCTCCTTCATCCTCCTCAGTCCTTCTCCTCCACAGTCATCCCCCCAGTTCTCCTCCCACTCCTCAGTCCTCGTCATCAGTCCTCCTCATAGTCGTTCCTCGTCTTCTTCTCAGTCCTCCTCGTCCTCAGTCCTCCCGTCTTTAGACCTCCTCCTCATCAGTCCTTTCCCAGTCCTCCTCCTCCTTCTCCTTCTTATCAGTCGTCCTCCTGCTCCTCCTCAGTCCTCCTCGTCCTTAGTCCTCATCCTTTTACTCCTCCTTCCTCCTCAGTCCTCTTCAGTCCTTCTCCTCCTCAGTCATCCCCCAGTTCTCCTCCCCTCCTCAGTCCTCGTCCTCAATCCTCCTCATGGTCCTCACCTGAGTCCTCCTCCTCATCCTCCTCCACAGTCCTCTTCCTCCTCTGAGTCCTTCCCCCAGTCCTCATCCTCCTTCCCCAGTCCTCCTCAGTCTCCTCCTTCTCCTCCACAGTCATCCTCCCAGTTCTCCTCCCACTTCCTCAGTCCTCGTCCTCAGCCCTCCTCATAGGCGTCCTCGTCTTCCTTCTCAGTCCTCCTCGTCTTTAGGACCTCCTCCTCATCAGTCCTTCCCCAGTCCTCCTCCTCCTCCTCCTTCTCCTTCTTATCAGTCGTCCTCCTCCTCCGCCGCAGTCCTCCTCGTCCTTAGTCCTCATCCTTTTAACTCCTCCTCCTCAGTCCTCTTCATTCCTTCTCCTCCTCAGTCTCCCCCCAGTTCTCCTCCTCTCCTCAGTCCTCGTCCTCAGTCCTGAGTCCTCCTCATGGTCGTCCTTCTCCTCCTCCCCTTCCTCCTCAGTCCTCCTCCTTCTCCTCCTCCTCCTCCCCTTCCTCCTCAGTCTTCCTCAGTCCTCCTCCTCTTTCCTTTTCCTCCTCCTCCTCAGTCCTCCTCCTCCTCTTCAGGGCATCATGTTTGCGAAAAGTGGAAGGCTAAAGGTAAACACTTTATCACGGCTCCAACGTTCCAGGACCTCATAACTGGCCTTGAAGGGATGGTTCATTATCTAGTCCAATGTGCAACTAAGTACAAGGACTGTGATATTGCTCCCTGGCATTTTGTTTCCGACTCTTGCGAACAATTGTTTGCTTTCCTTCGCACTGGCTTCCACAAAGGACGCCAGACGAACCTATCGAGTGCTTCGGTTGTGCACGGGGCAGCAAGGAAAAATCGGTGCCTTGAGCTTGATGCGAAAGGCAGCCATCTTGTTGCGCATGACGTTGCACACACTCGGGGGAAGACACTGATTCCCGATCCCAACCAAACACGGGTGTACATTGTACAAGGGCAGAGACACCAGCCTCAAGAAACTTAGGAAAGCACTCAGGGAAGGCATCGACATGGGGAAGGATATGATTCGTGCTCACAAAAAGCTGTCCGGGTGCGAACTCGATATACCTACTGAACCTGACTGTTACACTCTAGTTGATGATGATGACAGGGAAAAGGCTGAGCTTGAGGCTCCCAATGATGATGATGATGAAATGGAGATGTACAACCCAGTCAACTGGAGTTCTCACAACCGACGGCCGTTGGTACCATGTTTGATACTGCTGCTGAGAAGTTCATGAACGACGGTCGGTCATCAAGGCAGGTCATACACGCCAAAGGAGAATCAAAGGCTACAGTATCGCCAGGGTGTCACTTTCTCAGCCATTTGAATCGCTTGGAAAAGACTGTAAACGTGTATCTGTTGGTGACAAGGGCTGATTGGGCGGACATCTGTCCGACAGCAACATCTGTCCGAAAGCTGAATTAGGGATTTCGGACAGATGTCGTTGTCGGACAGGAGTCGTGTTTGGCGACATCTGTCCGAAATTTGGATCATATTGTAATTTCGGTTCACATTCGTATTTCACAAGCTCACATGTAATCTCGTGACGTTCTAAAGCTGATGTGATCGCTTAAGATCTGATCCATCGATACGTGATTGACTAGTTGAGAACAGATCGTGCTAGCCGTACCCTAACAAGCTGTCGATCACATCACAGGACATGAGTACATATAGGACAGCAGTATGGAGATCACTTATCGCAATCCACAATGGCAACCAATCTTCAGTTTATCCCTGGACGCAAACAAGGCTCGGACAACCCTGTCCCTAAATGGCTTCAGATACGTCTTCGACAAGCGAAGAGACGACACCTCCTACTGGAAATGTTCGGATTTCCGAAAGGGTTGCAGAGCCCGCATCCGTACCGTGGACAGACAAATGATCACTCCTACTCCTGACCACACTCACGCTGTCCACCATGCTGAAACGACCGTCCACGTCAGCAAACAGGACTTGAAAAGAAAGGCTTCTGGCGGAGATCAACCAACGAAATACCTCGTATCTGAAGCAGTCGGTGGATTGGGTTACGAATCTAGAGCAAAGCTTGGCTGCCAGCTATCATCCCTCAACAGAATGGTACAGAGAAGCAGAAAAGCAGCTAACAGACACCCTTCTAACCCGAGAGATCTTGGAAACGCTCTCCATTCCTCCAAACTACATCCTCTCTACCGACAACGAACCAATGATGCTCTGGGACTCTGGATGGGACGAACAGACTCGTCGATCTTTCCTTTGGGGGACTCCTAAGAACGCAGATCATATGGTGGACGCGGAGCATTGGGTAGTCGACGGTACCTTCAAATCCGCACCTAATCTCTTCCATCAGCTCTTCACAGTGAACTATTGTCCAATTTATCGACATCAAATGAAAATAAACTGTGGTAGTAAACTATGGCTCAGATCATATCTCAAATTGGACATGTTACGTATACAATTTAGCAAGTAACAGTTTAGATCATGTCTCTAATTGGAAATGTGTCGTATTGAAATCAGGTCACAATTTCGGACAGATGTCGTTTTTTTTCTCGTACCCTGATTCGGACAGATGTCGCTGTCGGACAGATGTCGCTGTCGGACAGGAGTCGTGTTACCACAAGGGCTGGTTCGACAAGAAAAAATTCAAGCAAGCTGTCAAGTTCCGCCGGCAGGCTCTGTTCATGTCAACATCGCATATATTCAGCAAGGCTGACAGGTCGTCTGTCTGCTGTGTACCCACTAATTCCTTTTGTTCTACCCATCAGAACTAGGGACCCAACTTACTAGATTTTAAAAGTATGCGTATTTGGCAATAATATTCTGTGATGTAGCATTCAAAGACCTTTATAAATCACAATTAATACATCATAATATCTGAATTGTGATAATATCCCGGTTATTTTGACATTTACGCTTACGTGAGATTGACAAGCAGCTAAACTCCAATTATTAATTAGTAGGTAATCGTAGTATTGTATTTTCATTTGTTCACCAGTTTTGCTGCGTCTTATTTATCTTCTCTGATGTCATACAGTGTAATATACAAAGATACAACGGAGAATACCAATGGATTTATAGATCCATTTCTCTGGGATGTTTCGTTATTTCTAGAGTAACAAAATGTTGGTAAAAAATACGAAAAAATACGAAAAAATACGAACGCACCCCTAAAATTTGAAATTCGTATTCGTATTTTTTGTAGTTGGACCCCCCCCCCCACTAATATACACCGTAATTATCCGAACAGTGTTTGAACTATAGGGGCTGTATAATATACTGTACTACTGTACTACTGTACTACTGTACTACTGTACTACTGTACTACTGTACTACTGTACTACTGTACTACTGTACTACTGTACTACTGTACTACTGTACTACTGTACTACTGTACTACTGTACTACTGTACTACTGTACTACTGTACTACTGTACTACTGTACTACTGTACTACTGTACTACTGTATAATATAAGGATGTTTACTATGTGTATTGTTTATTGACCATGATTAGGGGCCATGACGGAGATTAGAACTTAACGTTCTTGTGATTTCATTATCTGTGTGTGCTGGATAAAATGTATGGTCAATGAATGATGATGGTTTGAGTGATTCTGATATAGGGGGTCATGCATAAAATCGAAGTTGAATTGTTCATTGTTGAGTAATTACTTATATATGAAAAAATACTTGGGTTTTCCTGGTTCTTAGATTTAGTATTCATAAAACTCTAGTACAAGCTGACCCCCATACACAGGACTTGTTTTATGATATATTCGTTTGTGTCAAATGGAGGAGTTGCAGGAGTGCAAGTGGTGTAATGAAATATTGATTATTGCGAAATAATTCGATGGTCACAGCTAGTTTCTGCTGTGGTCACAGCTGCTGCCTTGGTCACACTTGACTAAGCTGATAGTCACACAGCACACAAAATTGTGTTAAACCTTATAAATGTGGATTCTGGTGGGAGGGAAATTATGCTTGTTTTACCACGTGACAGTGTATCGGGGTTTTTATTGGTCAATACTGGAAGTTGATTGGTCAATACTGGAAGTTGATTGGTCAATACTGGAAGTTGATTGGTCAATACTGGAAGTTGATTGGTCAATACTGGAAGTTGATTGGTCAATACTGGAAGTTGATTGGTCAATACTGGAAGTTGATTGGTCAATACTGGAAGTTGATTGGTCAATACTGGAAGTTGATTGGTCAATACTGGAAGTTGATTGGTCAATACTGGAAGTTGATTGGTCAATACTGGAAGTTGATTGGTCAATACTGGAAGTTGATTGGTCAATACTGGAAGTTGATTGGTCAATACTGGAAGTTGATTGGTCAATACTGGAAGTTGATTGGTCAATACTGGAAGTTGATTGGTCAATACTGGAAGTTGATTGGTCAATACTGGAAGTTGATTGGTCAATACTGGAAGTTGATTGGTCAATACTGGAAGTTGATTGGTCATATGCTTCACCTCCCCACCAGAATCCACGTCATCTATACTCCCTATTCTTTCCAGGTACTCATTTGTGTGTCAACTAAAGAAAGATATAGCTGAGGAGCGATTAACGTGCTCGTCCAACACTGAGTGTACGCTGGCTGCGTACGCGCTCCAAGCGGAGATGGGAGACTTCGACAGCGATGAGTATCACGAGGAAGGTTATATTCAACAGTGTGCCTGGTTCTGTGATGTGGTGAGTTTCAACCTTCGGCTTTTTACTTGTTTGGTTTCATTATATATTTCTACTTTCTACCACGTTTCGGTCATTCTGTTATTTTTAAATATATATAATTCTAAAAAGTAATAAAAATGAATGATCAGGAGTGTTAAATTTTACCAAATACATCCATCAGTTCACCAAATTATCTACTCAGACTTACTCTTATTGAGATCAGTCTCAGATTGCGTGTGATCAACAATGTCATCCTCATGCATCCCATATATAACCTCTCTGTAACATAGGTGCAGATTTCGTTTTGAGGTGAACTTTTAGGTTCCCGAGAAATTTTCTTAAGTTTGCTTTTTTCCTCCTCGGGCACATTCGTAACATACGGGCCAGGTAAACCTAAACTACATATTGACCGTTATGTACGTCGGTATCTGTCGAGGAGCCAAATCATCTGAAAAGCCCTAAACCTATATTTTGCTCAGGCACGTAGCCAGGATTTTTCTTTGGGGGGGGGGGGGGGGGCTGTCGGCGAGCGAAGCTGCAAGCTGTGGCAGGGGTCTGGGGGCGCGGCCCCCAGCGGGGTCCAGGTAAGGGGCGGACCCCATTGGCGGGGGCTAGGGGGGCGCAGCCCCCCGGAAAAATTTTGCGAAATAGGGTGTTTTAGGCTAAATTGAAAGTTTAATGAATTTACAAAAATGTATAGTTTGGCATAATCATTGCCTACAATCCTGACCTGAGTAATTTACCCCTTTGAGACTTTATTTTGGGTTGAAAATTGAGTTTATCGAGAGGAAGTGAAAAATCTCTGGTTCAAATTTGGATTTGAAGCCATGTTTAATTTTTTCTGTTGAGGTCAATTTTTTGCGCAGAAAGCGTCCGATTTTAGGGGAAAAAATGTATGTTTGCTTTTAATTTTTATGGTGCCGACGGCACCTGAAATCGACGAAATCTGCAGGGGTGCTCTGTAATACTTACTCTGAGGGAGTAGATACAAGGCGATTATATCCCCAACTGTGGTGATAAGGGTAATCAAACTCATGGAGGTAGAGAGACATTGCAGCAAGTGAGACAGAGAAAACCGCCCGATAAGGGGGGGGGGGGGGGGGGGAGGGGGGTGGGGCGTGTTCCAATGGTTAAAAAATGGTGAAATTTTAAAATTTGGAAACTCAATGGGGTGTATTCTGATACTATACGACAATACCAAGATCTCAACGAGATTTGTTTTTCTTAAAGCTAGCTATGCTATGAGTTGAAGTATTTCACTGTTGTAAAATGTAAGTGCATGTATTGTATCTATAACGATTATATTGGACGATTTCAGAAAAATTCGTTATTCGTTAACCATTGACAATATTGCATGTTCTTTTATTTGTTCAAGTAATGCGAGAACATCTTGATAATTTCAGCAAATTAAAAACGCTCCCCCACCAGCCCTGTAAATTACTAAATACAAACTACTCCTAAAAAGAACCACACACCAGCCCTTAAAACACAAACTACTCCTAAAAACACTCCTCCACCAGCCCTTAAAACACAAACTACTCCTAAAAAGAACCACACACCAGCCCTTAAAACACAAACTACTCCTAAAAAAACACTCCTCCACCAGCCCTTAAAACACAAACTACTCCTAAAAACACTCCTCCACCAGCCCTGAAATAGTCAATTTACTAATTACTAATTAGCTTCATATTGAATAACTACTCCATTATTCCTGCGCTTTTGTTTCTTCTTTAACTGTTTTCTTTCCTTTCGAGTTTCAGTTAGGTCCTCACTTAGGTCCTCACTTTTCATTTCTTTCGTGGACTTTGGTTTTTTGTGATTGTTCTCGTTCTCTTTTGTTCTGTCTACCTTCAGCTTACAAATAAAATGTTCGTCTTCAAAAATTATGACGTAATCTTTGAATTTCATCCGAACACATTCCTCACACTTTTTAAGGAATTTTCCCAAAAACACGAGGTGTCTGCCTTTACCCATTTCCCGCGTGGTCTCGAGATCCAGAGGAACCTTCCTCCCGCACATAGTTGCACTGAAGTCAGAACGCTTTGGCATCACATCATTTGACTTAGGAAAATCTTCAAAATATTCGTATATCCTTCCGAGCTTGACGTATCTTGCATTGAATGTGATGTAAAACTTTGTTAATCCAACGTGTATTTCGATGTTGTAGAATTGCAGAAAAGGAGGGTCATTGTTGTGGCAAAAGACAGCAGCGGCTTGGTTTCTGGAACAGGGCACATGAGTTTCAGTCAGTAGTTCGGAGCATATGTCAGCAATTGAAATACTATCGGTCGCGTTTAGCATTTGTGTGTCTAGGGTGGTATTTGTAGAATGTTTGCCTAGGTCATTATGTGCCTGCCTAGGATGGTGTGTGATACTAGCTGCACGGAAACAGTGGAACCGCCTGGAATCGTAGTGAACAATTCCGTTTTGGCGAATTTTATCTTTTATCTTGTCCTCAGTCTTCCCCATCAATATGTCCCAAAAAGCAAGTTGGCGACTTATTAAACTTATGGAGGTTCTACGACCAGTTTCAAACCCGTGCAATCGACATAGAGCAATGGCGGTGCGATCATTAAATTCATCATCGCATATGGGTTGATAATCGCCGCTGAGCACCATGAGGGCACCCCGCTCGTCACGTTTTTTCAAGAATATCTGAAGTTCTGCTAGCTTCATTTTATCCTTTTTGGATAGTTCTCGGTGTTCTTGTTTATCAATATTTGCTAACATTAAGCTTCTTACGTATAACTCAAAGTGTATTGAAGGAGGTTGTAAGGTCTGTACGTCTCTGTGTGACTGTGAGACTTTGCTGGGGACACTTCTTTGACAATCGCAGGACTCATCATATTGAGGAGAATATGTGAACTTAAACGTATTTGGGTAAAACACTACTTCGGACACTTCTAGGGACCAGTATTTCCTTTGGTTTCCAACGTATTCCGATTTAAGATAACCGCCCACAATAACAGGATTACGTTGTCCTTCGTTCTCGTTATCCACTGCCTCTTTCCATCTGGACGGCTTTTCCCGACTTTTATTCCCTTCTATGTTCACAGATAGAAAAATCAATAAAAGCACTGAAATTAATGTCCAGTATGTACCTCGCAACATCCCACTATCTGAGTTGGAGAATATTTTGATACACCAATCGTCCGAAGTGCAACACAAGTATCTAGCAAAGGAACCAAACTAGTTAAAATTTAAATTCAACTTCAGCTCGATCCTAATCGAGGGGTGTGGACAACAAGCAATGATTTATTTTCCATCAGGATTTCAGCTTGTTATTACGCGAGCTTTTGAAAGCTCGCGTCATAATGATTAAGACTATTTATTTAAATGAGATGAAAATAATTTATTTGCCGCCCCGCTCTCCTATCATCTCGTAAAATTATTTGGTAAACACGAGATTTTAATTCAAAAGTTTTAAGTGTGAACTCGGATATTGATGAAGTTGCAAAGGCCGGTGTAAAACTGGACTATATGAATAGAGTATCAAAAATAAATAGAATTATCAACAATTTCGGTAGTTCGATGGTAAAAAGACTATTGAGAAAATTTGGTTAATACCTCCGCATTCTTGAAAATCTCGTTGGCTGATGCCCTGGCATCCTTTTCAGACATCATGTCAGACAGTATGTCTTGGCTGGTACCTGTACCCAAATGGTAACTGCCACTGACCACTGTAATCACTATACATAGAAGATTAGAGATTAGCCAATAGCCATGTCATACTCTGAAAATTACGTAGAAATGGCGACCTTTGAAATCAAGCTTATATACTTTCGACTTGAAATAGATCTGTTGTAAGGAAGTTTTAACCTAAATATCTTAGCCCTAATTTTTAAAATTTACTTTTTGATATTGTTTTAACTCACTTAAGTACCCCTAGAGTCTCGACTTGATATGAGAGAAGGTGGGGCCTGTTTCAACCTGTAATTTGATAATTTAGGGCTGGCACATTTCCATAAATTGTCTCTCGTCCATAAAATCTAGAGTATTGTACACAGACTTCCTTAAAAGAGACATGGCTCGGTAACAAGTAAGTCTTCAGTATTAGCATTTAAAATTTCAAGTGAATAACTTTAATTAGGGTGCCGTAAATGTGCAGGCCAGGTAGAATTGGCAAATACTGGCCAATGTTGTCAAAAAGATGCCCTTCTTCATGGTTAGATGGTTATTAGAGCTTTATTTACCAAAGACAACATATATATAATATATTACATGATTCATTTCTTCTATCCACCCTAACACTTATGTCTGAATTTAATAATTGTGGTATGGAATGCATTAGTTACTATGCCAACATTGAGAAAGTCGCCACACTTATAATGTCTGTAAGAGACTCTTGATACATTTTTGGGGTGTGATATGTCGTGAAAGATGATTTGATTTCTACGCTATAAATATAAATCTCTATAAATTACGAAGTTTTGGGGTTGTCTAATGTTTGGACTCACTTATGTATAATTTATGTTATTTACATAATATTATATTAACTTATCAAGATAACAGTTGAGATAATGTTAGAGGGTAAAGATATTGATTAAACTTTGTAAAAAGTTCTTTTTTGCGTGGGATCAATTGACCTTTGCAAAAACTGTAGTGTTGCGAAAGGATGAATTATAACTAACATGTTCTCATTATTTCAGACACCGTCAATGGAAGAGAATATCAGAGATGCTCACAAATCGTTGAGGTATGTTGTACAAATATCACGCTTATTTTGCTGTGTACATGAAGCGGTGTACTAGTGTTTTGTGTTTGTAAACACTTATCCGCACATGATCTCGACAGGAATGTAGATAGGAGCTTTTGAATGAATATAATATTGCGTTTGATCACTCTGCATAGCACAGAATATCTTTAAATGTTTAACAGCAGCTCTTCTGCTCAATATGGATCGCTGCATGATACTATGGCTCGAACGCCTGCGGAGTGAAATCAACTGCTCAATTATCAATTTCACAAATACCTAGTTTCTTTTAACACCTTACACATTCTCGATGATTTTAAGAAAAATTATGTTGTATCCTGACATGTATCGAAGATGATATCATAGCTATAAATTTTATATTTTGCCCGCGAAACTCAGTAAAAAGGGACGTTTGTGCTGATTCCAAGTGATTTAGCTGTGCTACTGATTTAATTTAACTGTCAGATAATCATGTTTGAGATGAGAGTGTATACACAGTGTACACACTACATACATCACCAAGTACATGTTCTTGTGGCCCCCTCTGTAAATATAGTTTAATAAGCTGTCTAGACTGTGTTTCAGCGTGCTACAAAATAAGAACTGTGTTCAATCATGATGCATGATTCTATTGCTTGTATATCTAATTAATTAATTCTATTTAGCTAATCAAACTGGATGCTAGGACATGGTATCAAGTTTTGGTAAAATCTTGACAACTTCACACCTTTACACTTTACCGCTCAAATCAGCTGTTAATTAGTTAATTAGTTAATTAGTCAATTATAAAGTATTTTGTGTCAGGGGACAAAGCCCAGCAGAAGCGGATGTGCTCTTCCTTGACATTGCCAAGAAATTGGAGCTATATGGTATACACCAGTTTGAGGCTGTGGTTAGTCTTCCTTTTCTTCTTCAATTTCTTCTTTTAAGCATTATTTTGTTTTGAAGTTTTCACATGTAACTTACAAAGATCGGCCATGATGCCATTATTAAGTAAGATCTAATTCTAGAAATTACTTACAAGATGTAACCCTGATGGAGTAGTTTAACACACATTGTCAAAAACCTTACAAAAGTCATTATATATGTCTTTATCAAGGAAATAAAAATGTAAAATGATAAGATGAAATATCAGTGACTTGCAGCAACTGAATCGTGTCTGGGTACATTTACTACTTCCTATGGTACAAGGGGGGTTTACTGCCACATTATACATTTCTTACTAACTGTAAAGTTTAAACACTGCGAGCGTGCGCTACTGGACCTCAAGCTCTTTAAATGTTTTGTGTACCATTGCGCGGCAAGTAGGAACTTAAAATAATACACTATATTATTAGCAATTACACTATATAATACACTATATTTAAATACAATATATTATTATTATTATTAAAATAATACAATAATACACTATAAATTATTAATAATTACACTATGTAATACACTATATTATCATTAAAATACTACACTATTTTATTAATGGTGGTACATGCACACGTGACCATTCCAGCAGACTGACCGCTGAAATCAGCACAATAACATTGTCATTTACCGTGAGCCAGTAAGTAATTCCCCGTCACAACTCTTTTCACTCCGCTGTATAAAAGCTATTTCATCTCAATTTTATAGCGGGTTTTATTGAGATGACGTCAGGGTAGCATTACTCACAGGCCACTGAACAAAGTATTGTGTGTGGCGTATTTAATGTTTCACTTTAACTATTCGCATTGTGACTACAATATACCCCAACCTTTGTCCCTTGTTATTTAAAGAGACTTGCAGTGCCTTCTTGATGAAGTTAAATAGTTTAAACGCGGTCACTAAATTCAAGTTGTGTGAAGCAGCCACAGTTAACATATTCTTTGAAAGCATCTTCTCCACATTATAGATGTTTAAAAGGTAAAGTTTGTTAGCCAAGTTTATAATCCGCTGTAGAGACAATAGTGTTTGAAAGTTTAAACAACAGCAGCAAATAATGACATGATGTGGCACACTTATCACAAAGATTGAATATCATTACATTTTCACACAATTCAAGAAGTTTCCAGAATCGTCTCATTTTTCGAGGCTAGAGAATGCTCCGATGTAAAATTCCAATGTGTTGCAGACTGCACTCTCACTGTCCCTAAATCTTTAAATCGTGGAGTCTTGCCAGAATGCATCGAATTAAGGGATTTCGTGTCATCGGATAAATTTAGGGATCACGTTTACATTTGGTCACTAAGTGTACAATTAGGCTTGCACAGTGTATAATATTATACAAGTAGTAGATACACACGGTTTGAATTTTGCAGTAATTGCACATGGCGGTGCACGCGTTGCATTAACCATGTTAATTGTACAATGCACTCAACCGAGCAAATTATGTGTGAATTCACAATTGCTCTATATAAAATAGTAAAATGTGGCATTTACAGCTGATCACATTTTAGAATTAAGGACAGATCATTAAAGAAAGATTTGTCTTTAGCAACAAATCACAGTTTTTTATCGAGGTCCGGTCCGTCTTTTTTTGAAAAAAATTGTTACTCAAAGGAAAGTTTGGATATTACAGTGTTATCCGTATGAATGATGTTCTTAGTAATTTCTTGTAATGCAGGAATGCAGAATATCATTTTTTAATATGTTTATGAGGTACAGACAATTTATTTACTATTCTACAGGACAAACACGGTTCAGCAATACATGTGGCAGCGGTTTGGAATGGAATTCACATATTTAGATGCGGCTCCAAGCAGAATTCCTTTCCCTGGTTTGTTTCCATTTCAAATCCTATGACTTACTAGTTGCCAATGTGGAGAGCACGTTTCCTTGATTTTTGTAGTGGATTTGTAGTGCTTTTCACCCCTGTAGTGCTTTTATGTTCCGGGGTAGGTGGGACATGTTTTGGTTTAAAAATGGGTTCTGCCTGTCCCAAACCATCATAAAAATCAAGTTTCGACCTCTCAACCCACTCGGGCCACTCCCAGGGGCCACGCCCATCCCAAAATGACCGAAATCCAGCTAAATCCAGACTTTAAAATCTTTACCCCTGTAGTGCTTTTATGTTCCGGGGTAGGTGGGACATGTTTTGGTTTAAAAATGGGTTCTGCCTGTCCCAAACCATCATAAAAATCAAGTTTCGACCTCTCAACCCACTCGGGCCACTCCCAGGGGCCACGCCCATCCCAAAATGACCGAAATCCAGCTAAATCCAGACTTTAAAATCTTTACCCCTGTAGTGCTTTTATGTTCCGGGGTAGGTGGGACATGTTTTGGTTTAAAAATGGGTTCTGCCTGTCCCAAACCATCATAAAAATCAAGTTTCGACCTCTCAACCCACTCGGGCCACTCCCAGGGGCCACGCCCATCCCAAAATGACCGAAATCCAGCTAAATCCAGACTTTAAAATCTTTACCCCTGTAGTGCTTTTATGTTCCGGGGTAGGTGGGACATGTTTTGGTTTAAAAATGGGTTCTGCCTGTCCCAAACCATCATAAAAATCAAGTTTCGACCTCTCAACCCACTCGGGCCACTCCCAGGGGCCACGCCCATCCCAAAATGACCGAAATCCAGCTAAATCCAGACTTTAAAATCTTTACCCCTGTAGTGCTTTTATGTTCCGGGGTAGGTGGGACATGTTTTGGTTTAAAAATGGGTTCTGCCTGTCCCAAACCATCATAAAAATCAAGTTTCGACCTCTCAACCCACTCGGGCCACTCCCAGGGGCCACGCCCATCCCAAAATGACCGAAATCCAGCTAAATCCAGACTTTAAAATCTTTACCCCTGTAGTGCTTTTATGTTCCGGGGTAGGTGGGACATGTTTTGGTTTAAAAATGGGTTCTGCCTGTCCCAAACCATCATAAAAATCAAGTTTCGACCTCTCAACCCACTCGGGCCACTCCCAGGGGCCACGCCCATCCCAAAATGACCGAAATCCAGCTAAATCCAGACTTTAAAATCTTTACCCCTGTAGTGCTTTTATGTTCCGGGGTAGGTGGGACATGTTTTGGTTTAAAAATGGGTTCTGCCTATCCCAAACCATCATAAAAATCAAGTTTCGACCTCTCAACCCACTCGGGCCACTCCCAGGGGCCACGCCCATCCCAAAATGACCGAAATCCAGCTAAATCCAGACTTTAAAATCTTTACCCCTGTAGTGCTTTTATGTTCCGGGGTAGGTGGGACATGTTTTGGTTTAAAAATGGGTTCTGCCTGTCCCAAACCATCATAAAAATCAAGTTTCGACCTCTCAACCCACTCCCAGGGGCCACGCCCAACCCAAAATGACCGAAATCCAGCTAAATCCAGACTTTAAAATCTTTACCCCTGTAGTGCTTTTATGTTCCGGGGTAGGTGGGACATGTTTTGGTTTAAAAATGGGTTCTGCCTGTCCCAAACCATCATAAAAATCAAGTTTCGACCTCTCAACCCACTCGGGCCACTCCCAGGGGCCACGCCCATCCCAAAATGACCGAAATCCAGCTAAATCCAGACTTTAAAATCTTTACCCCTGTAGTGCTTTTATGTTCCGGGGTAGGTGGGACATGTTTTGGTTTAAAAATGGGTTCTGCCTGTCCCAAACCATCATAAAAATCAAGTTTCGACCTCTCAACCCACTCGGGCCACTCCCAGGGGCCACGCCCATCCCAAAATGACCGAAATCCAGCTAAATCCAGACTTTAAAATCTTTACCCCTGTAGTGCTTTTATGTTCCGGGGTAGGTGGGACATGTTTTGGTTTAAAAATGGGTTCTGCCTGTCCCAAACCATCATAAAAATCAAGTTTCGACCTCTCAACCCACTCGGGCCACTCCCAGGGGCCACGCCCATCCCAAAATGACCGAAATCCAGCTAAATCCAGACTTTAAAATCTTTACCCCTGTAGTGCTTTTATGTTCCGGGGTAGGTGGGACATGTTTTGGTTTAAAAATGGGTTCTGCCTGTCCCAAACCATCATAAAAATCAAGTTTCGACCTCTCAACCCACTCGGGCCACTCCCAGGGGCCACGCCCATCCCAAAATGACCGAAATCCAGCTAAATCCAGACTTTAAAATCTTTACCCCTGTAGTGCTTTTATGTTCCGGGGTAGGTGGGACATGTTTTGGTTTAAAAATGGGTTCTGCCTGTCCCAAACCATCATAAAAATCAAGTTTCGACCTCTCAACCCACTCGGGCCACTCCCAGGGGCCACGCCCATCCCAAAATGACCGAAATCCAGCTAAATCCAGACTTTAAAATCTTTACCCCTGTAGTGCTTTTATGTTCCGGGGTAGGTGGGACATGTTTTGGTTTAAAAATGGGTTCTGCCTGTCCCAAACCATCATAAAAATCAAGTTTCGACCTCTCAACCCACTCGGGCCACTCCCAGGGGCCACGCCCATCCCAAAATGACCGAAATCCAGCTAAATCCAGACTTTAAAATCTTTACCCCTGTAGTGCTTTTATGTTCCGGGGTAGGTGGGACATGTTTTGGTTTAAAAATGGGTTCTGCCTGTCCCAAACCATCATAAAAATCAAGTTTCGACCTCTCAACCCACTCGGGCCACTCCCAGGGGCCACGCCCATCCCAAAATGACCGAAATCCAGCTAAATCCAGACTTTAAAATCTTTACCCCTGTAGTGCTTTTATGTTCCGGGGTAGGTGGGACATGTTTTGGTTTAAAAATGGGTTCTGCCTGTCCCAAACCATCATAAAAATCAAGTTTCGACCTCTCAACCCACTCGGGCCACTCCCAGGGGCCACGCCCATCCCAAAATGACCGAAATCCAGCTAAATCCAGACTTTAAAATCTTTACCCCTGTAGTGCTTTTATGTTCCGGGGTAGGTGGGACATGTTTTGGTTTAAAAATGGGTTCTGCCTGTCCCAAACCATCATAAAAATCAAGTTTCGACCTCTCAACCCACTCGGGCCACTCCCAGGGGCCACGCCCATCCCAAAATGACCGAAATCCAGCTAAATCCAGACTTTAAAATCTTTACCCCTGTAGTGCTTTTATGTTCCGGGGTAGGTGGGACATGTTTTGGTTTAAAAATGGGTTCTGCCTGTCCCAAACCATCATAAAAATCAAGTTTCGACCTCTCAACCCACTCGGGCCACTCCCAGGGGCCACGCCCATCCCAAAATGACCGAAATCCAGCTAAATCCAGACTTTAAAATCTTTACCCCTGTAGTGCTTTTATGTTCCGGGGTAGGTGGGACATGTTTTGGTTTAAAAATGGGTTCTGCCTGTCCCAAACCATCATAAAAATCAAGTTTCGACCTCTCAACCCACTCGGGCCACTCCCAGGGGCCACGCCCATCCCAAAATGACCGAAATCCAGCTAAATCCAGACTTTAAAATCTTTACCCCTGTAGTGCTTTTATGTTCCGGGGTAGGTGGGACATGTTTTGGTTTAAAAATGGGTTCTGCCTGTCCCAAACCATCATAAAAATCAAGTTTCGACCTCTCAACCCACTCGGGCCACTCCCAGGGGCCACGCCCATCCCAAAATGACCGAAATCCAGCTAAATCCAGACTTTAAAATCTTTACCCCTGTAGTGCTTTTATGTTCCGGGGTAGGTGGGACATGTTTTGGTTTAAAAATGGGTTCTGCCTGTCCCAAACCATCATAAAAATCAAGTTTCGACCTCTCAACCCACTCGGGCCACTCCCAGGGGCCACGCCCATCCCAAAATGACCGAAATCCAGCTAAATCCAGACTTTAAAATCTTTACCCCTGTAGTGCTTTTATGTTCCGGGGTAGGTGGGACATGTTTTGGTTTAAAAATGGGTTCTGCCTGTCCCAAACCATCATAAAAATCAAGTTTCGACCTCTCAACCCACTCGGGCCACTCCCAGGGGCCACGCCCATCCCAAAATGACCGAAATCCAGCTAAATCCAGACTTTAAAATCTTTACCCCTGTAGTGCTTTTATGTTCCGGGGTAGGTGGGACATGTTTTGGTTTAAAAATGGGTTCTGCCTGTCCCAAACCATCATAAAAATCAAGTTTCGACCTCTCAACCCACTCGGGCCACTCCCAGGGGCCACGCCCATCCCAAAATGACCGAAATCCAGCTAAATCCAGACTTTAAAATCTTTACCCCTGTAGTGCTTTTATGTTCCGGGGTAGGTGGGACATGTTTTGGTTTAAAAATGGGTTCTGCCTGTCCCAAACCATCATAAAAATCAAGTTTCGACCTCTCAACCCACTCGGGCCACTCCCAGGGGCCACGCCCATCCCAAAATGACCGAAATCCAGCTAAATCCAGACTTTAAAATCTTTACCCCTGTAGTGCTTTTATGTTCCGGGGTAGGTGGGACATGTTTTGGTTTAAAAATGGGTTCTGCCTGTCCCAAACCATCATAAAAATCAAGTTTCGACCTCTCAACCCACTCGGGCCACTCCCAGGGGCCACGCCCATCCCAAAATGACCGAAATCCAGCTAAATCCAGACTTTAAAATCTTTACCCCTGTAGTGCTTTTATGTTCCGGGGTAGGTGGGACATGTTTTGGTTTAAAAATGGGTTTCTGCCTGTCCCAAACCATCATAAAAATCAAGTTTCGACCTCTCAACCCACTCGGGCCACTCCCAGGGGCCACGCCCATCCCAAAATGACCGAAATCCAGCTAAATCCAGACTTTAAAATCTTTACCCCTGTAGTGCTTTTATGTTCCGGGGTAGGTGGGACATGTTTTGGTTTAAAAATGGGTTCTGCCTGTCCCAAACCATCATAAAAATCAAGTTTCGACCTCTCAACCCACTCGGGCCACTCCCAGGGGCCAC